TTAAAAGATACATAGATTAGAGAGACACCTAGAGATGAGAGAAGGAGAGAGAAAGAAGAAGAGACGAGTGAAAGAGGATCGAGAGAGGATAAAAATGAGAAAGACGAGAGAAGAGAAGAAGAAAAGAAAGATGTTCGTGAGAGAGAAGAGAGAGGAGAGGAGAGAAGTGAAAGAGAAAGATAAAGAGAGAGAGAATAGAGAGATGCGAGAAGAGAAAAGAGATGAGAGAGGAGGAGAGGAGGAAGGAGAGAGAGCGAGAGAGAGGGGAGAGAAAGAGAGAAGAGGCAATGAGAAGAGATAGAAGAGAAGAGAAGAGAGAAGGAGAAGAGAAGAGAAGAGAAGAGAAGAAAGAGAGAGAGAGAGAAGAGAACGAGAAAAGAGAGAAAAAAAAGAAGAGAGAAGAGAGAGAGGAGAGGAGAGAGATGAAGAGAGAGAGGAGAGAGAGAGGAGGGAGGAGAGAGAGAGAGAGGGAGAGAGAGAGAGAGAGAAAGAGAGAAGAGAAAGATGAAAAGAGAGAGAGAGAGATGAGAGAGAGAGAGAGACGAGAGATGATGAGAGAGAGATGAGAGAGAGAGAGAGAGAGAGAGAGAGAGAGACAGAGAGAGAGAGGAGAGAGAGAGAGAGAGAGGAGAGAAGAGGAGGGAGAGGGAGACGAGAGCAGGAGAAGAGAGAGGAGTGAGAGAGAGGAAAGAGAGGAAAAGAGAAGAGAAAGAGAGAGAGAGAGGAGAGTGAGAGAGGAGAGGAGAGACGAGAGACAGAAGAGAGGAGAGAGAGAGAGAGGAGAGAGAGAAGAGGAGAGAGAGAGAGAGGAGAGAGAGAGGAAGAGAGAAGAGAGACGAGAAGAGAGGAAACTTGATGTCGAGTAGAAAAAAAAAAATCCTGAAGGTGCCACGAACAAGCCCAGATTAATTAGGCCGGATATTCTTCAAGCTAAAAAAAAAGAAAAGATATAAAGTTTTTTTAAAAAAGAATTTCCTACCTGGCATTCTCAATCTTCCCCTCCCTTTCCTTCTTCTTCCTCTCTCTCTCTCTCTCTCTCTCTCTCTCTCTCTCTCTCTCTCTCTCTCTCTCTCTCTCTCTCTCTCTCTTCTCTCTCTCTCTCCTCTCTCTCTCTCTCTCCCTCTCTCTCCTCTCGCTCTCTCTCTCCCTCTCTCTCTCTCTCTCTCTCTCTCTCTCTCTCTCTCTCTCTCTCTCTCTCTCTCTCTCTCTCTCTCTCTCCTCTCTCTCTCTCTCTCTCTCTCTCTCTCTCTCCTCTCTCTCCTCTCTCCCTCTCTCTCTCTCCTCTCTTTTCTCTCTCACTTAAATTACAAAATTCTAGCGGGGATGTTTGTTCGTCCTGAAACATTCAACCTATATAAATATTTCCCTCCAGAAGCACGGGAGCGAACAAAGTTATTCGTCTGGGCTAATTTCGTGAAAATTTCGTTGCAGGGGAACAAGGTTCTCTCTCTCGCACGGCGCTGCAAGGTTGATCTCGACCTGCAAATGCCTGCAATCACTCGAGGAAGAGCGAGCGATTATGCAAAACACTCGCTGCAGGTGATTTGTTGACGCTGTTGCAGGGGTTGCAATCAACGCATTTTTTTTTGTGCTCTCTCTCTCTCTCTCTCTCTGATTATGTAACTTTTTTTTTTCTTTTTTTTTTCGTTTCGTGTCTGTTTTCGCTTTTTTTTTTGTCTCCCTATTTTTTAACTCATGTCTCCCCCCCCCCCTCTCTCTCTCTCTCTCTCTCTCTTCTCTCTCTCTCTCTCTCTCTCTCTCTCTCTCTCTCTCTCTCTCTCTCTCTCTCTCTCTCTCTCTCTCTCTCTCTCCTCATCCGCGGCCCGCCCAACGTTGTACCCAGCCTGCACATACGCCCGCCCACACTTCCCACGTACATGCTCATTAAAAACACGTGACTGCACACACGTACGGATATCACATATACGCATAAACACTTTCGCGAGGACATACACATACGCACAAGCACACGCACACGCAACACGCACACGCACACGCACACGCACACGCACACGCACACACACACACACACACACACACACACACACACACACACACATACACACACACCACACACACACGCACACACACCCACACATACACACACACACGCACACACACACACACACATCCTCTTCCTCTCCCTCCAACCCTCCCTCCTCCTTCCCTCCCTCCCTCACCCTCCACCTCAACCCCTCCCTCCCCCCTCTCTCACCTGTATTACTGCGGTCCCCCTCCGGCGTTGTACCCCGCCCTCCACCTCCTCCTCCCTTCTACCCCCTCCAACCCTCCCCCACCTCCCTCCCTCCCTCCCTCCATCCATCCATCCTTCCTCTCCTTCTCACCTGTATACTGCGGTCCCCCTCCGGCGTTGTACCCCCCCTCCACCTCCTCCTCCCTTTACCCCTCCAACCCTCCCCACCCTCCCTCCCTCCCTCCTCCTCCATCCATCCCTTCCTCTCCTTCTCACCTGTATACTGCGGTCCCCCTCCGGCGTTGTACCCCGCCCTCCACCTCCCCCTCCCTTCTACCCCTCCAAACCTCTCCCTCCCTCCCCTCTTCCCCCCTCCCCTACTCCCCATCCATCCCTCCAACCCTCACCCTCTCCCTTCCCCTCCAACCCTCCAACCCCCTCACCCCCCTCCCCCTCCCCTCCAATCCCTCCCTCCACCCCTCCCTCCTCCTCCCTTCTCACCTGTATACTGCGGTCCTCCTCCAGCATTGTACCCCGCCCTCCACCTCCCCCTTCCCCCCCTCCACTTCCCCCTCCAACCCTCCCCCCTCCAAGCTCCCCCTCCCCCCTCCCTCCCTCCCTTCTACCCCCTCCAACCCCCCCTTCCCTCCCTCCCCCTCCCACCCTCCCTCCAACCCCTCCCTCCCTCTCCTTTCTCACCTGTATTACTGCGGTCCCCCTCCGGCATTGTACCCCGCCCTCCACCTCCTCCTCCAACCCTCTCCCTCCAACCCTCCAATCCTCACCCCCTCCTTCCCCCCCCCTACCCCCCATCCATCATTCCATCCTCACCCTCTCCCTCCCCCTCCCCCCTCCATCTCCCCCTCCCTCCATCCCTCCCTCTCCCCTCCCCTCTCCTCCAACCCTCCTCCATCTCCCCCTCCATCCCTCTCCTTCTCACCTGTATACTGCGGTCCTCCTCCGGCGTTGTACCCCGCCCTCCACCTCCTCCTCGCCAAGACCGCCCTCCACGGCTTCTTCGAGTGGAGGGCGGGCTCGTTCATCCAGTCATCCGGCCCGACGTGCACGAGGTCGAGGTGGGTGAAGTGGCGGGCGAAGTCCTCGAAGGCCATCCTGTGGGTGACGGGGGGGAGAGAGGTTGGTGAGTTTTGGGGTGGGGGGGGTGAGGGGGGAGAGAGGTTGGTGGGTGAGTTTTGGGGTGATGTTTGGGTGTGGGGTGTGAGTGGGGTGAGGTTTGGGTGGGTGTGGGGTGGGGTGAGGTTTGGGGTGGGTGAAGTTTGGGGTGAGGTTTGGGGGGTGTGGAGTGGGGTGAGAGAGGTTGGTGGGTGGAGTTTTGGGGTGGGTGAGTTTTAGGGTGGGTGAGGGGAGAGAGAGGTTGGTGGGTGAGTTTTTGGGGTGGGTGAGTTTTTGGGCTGGGTGAGTTTTCGGGTGGGTATAGGGGTGGGGTGTGGGTGTGGGGTGAGGTTTGGGGTGGGTGTAGGGGTGGGGTGTGGGGTGGGGTGGTGGGTGTGGGGTGTGGGTGAGGGAGAGAGAGGTTGGTGGGTGAGTTTTGGAGTGGTGGGTGGTGGTGTGGGGTGAGGTTTAGGGTGGGGTGGGGTGGGTGAGTTTTTGGGGTGGGTGTAGGGGTGAGAGAGGTTGGTGGGTGAGTTTTGGGGTGGGTGAGGGGTGAGAGAGGTTGGTGGGTGAGTTTTGGGGTGGGGTGTGGGGGGTGGGTGTGGGGTGAGGTTTAGGGTGGGGTGGGTGGTGAGTTTGGGGTGGGTGTAGGGGTGAGAGAGGTGTGGGTGAGTTTTGGGGTGGGTGTAGGGGTGAGAGAGGTTGGTGGGTGAGTTTTGGGGTGGGTGAGGGGTGAGAGAGGTTGGTGGGTGAGTTTTTGGGGTGGGGTGTGGGGGGGTGGGTGTGGGGTGAGGTTTAGGGTGGGGTGGGGTGGGTGAGTTTTGGGGTGGGTGTAGGGGTGAGAGAGGTTGGTGGGTGAGTTTTGGGGTGGGTGTAGGGGTGAGAGAGGTTGGTGGGTGAGTTTTGGGGTGGTGAGGGGTGAGAGAGGTTGGTGGGTGAGTTTTGGGGTGGGTGTGGGGGGTGGTGTGGGGTGAGGTTTGGGTGGGTGTAGGGGGGTGGGGGGTGGGGTGATGGTTTGGGGGGGGTGTGGGGTGAGGTTTGGTGTGGGTGTGGGGTGAGGTTTGGGGTGGTGGGATGTGACGTGAGGTTTTGGGGTGGGTGTGGGGTGGGGTAGGTGTGGGGTGAGGTTTTGGGTGGGTATGGGGTAAGTTTTTGGGTGAATTGGGTGAGTGTGGGGTGAGGTTTGGGGTGGGTGTTGGGTAAGTTTTGGGTGGATGTGGGGTGGGTGCGGAGTCAGTTTTGAGGTGGGTGTGAGGTGAGGTTTGGGTAAGTTGTGGGGTGAGTTTTGGGGTGGATGTTGGGTGAGTTTGGGTGAGGTTTGTGGTGAGTTTGGGTGAGTTTGAGGTGGTTATGGAGCCAATTTAGGCATGCGTTCAGTATGAAATAGAAGATCAGTAAAGATAACCAGCGGAGAAAAACAGTTAAATATGGGATAAAATAAAATGGGAGGGAGTAAAGGATACATATATCTTTATATACATTTCTCTACTATATTTAATTTCTCTATGTTGGATTATTTCATTCTACTTTCTTTTCCTATTCAGTTTTTTTTTTCTAAGCTCACTTTTATTCTGTCTATTTAGTAATCACTCCTTTTCCTTCTTCAGCTATTATTCTGTCTATCTATATGTCTATCTGTCTATCTATCTATATGTCTATCTTGTTTATCTAATCTATATGTTATCTGTTTATC